TTCTTCTTGGCTGCGAAACATCCGTTCTTCTCCCGTCGTCCGTTGCCCGTCGTTGATGGCGGTGGAGCATCTGGCCAAGTTGCGCAGCGGGATGGATCTTGGCTCGTCATCTCAAGGAGGATGACACTGACGATGATGACGATGCACTTTGGCAGGACTCCTTGACATCATTCGTCTGCATCTGCAACCGCAGAATCTTTTTCTGCCATGGGCTGCTGCCTTGTATAGGTCTCCACAAAGTCGCGGCCCCCTTAGCCGTGCGAGTAAGAACTTTGGAGCTTGGGGAAATGAAAAGTATAAGTTTCAGATCTATGTGTGTGTATGTATGTATATATGTATATAAATAAATATATATATATATGTATATGCACACACGTATACCTTCATGGACACAAAATAAAGACATGAATATGTCTATAATATATATATATATATATATGTATGTATTTACATACATTTGCACATACGCACACAGAGCCAACTGTAAAGGGAATGTGAGCACAATTATATACAATTATGGGGTCCAAGGTATAGGGGGGAGAAAGGCTGAAAGGGGAAAACTCCGAGCCCGGGGCCTGCCAAGGCAACGCTGCTGTAGCCTCGGGCAGACAGGCGGGGTTTGCTGTGTCCTCCCCTCCCGTTCCCCCCCAACTCGACAGAGGAGGCAGGGAAGAGAGGGAGAGTGAGAGGGAGGGGAGGGAGGGGAGGCTGAGCGAGAGAGATAGGGAGCGAGAACCATGAGTGGGGAAGCATGGCAGTGTAGCAGCTTGGAGGCCATATAAGGGATCGTCCCATTTGTTCAGCCCGGGAGCGTTCCAGGTACGTCGGGCCCACTGGCGGCATCGCAACTGAGGAGGCACGTGCATCTTTGTACTTCAAGGCGCATTGGGGTGCAAATACAAGGAGGGCACTGCGATTTCAGCGCCTGGACCCGCAAGGGCGCTTCGAAGCCTTTCTCACAAACTTTCTTTGTCAAAGCCGAGAAGATGCCTTTCAAGTGTATGCCGTGGCCCAAGAACCCAAAGCCCCCCCCCCCCCCACACAACATATCCGGGCAGCCTCCGGTTGCGAGATCTCGGTCTCCGAGGACCGCCGCCAGGGGCGTCGAGGACCAGTCCGCCGATCCCCCGACCCGCCGGGCGCTGAAGGCCGCCGAGCGCAGCCGCTGGAAGTCCTCTCAGGGATTCGAGGTGCTGCGCGGAAGTCCGGGGGGGTACCATAAAGTGGCGGCTGTTGGAGGCCTCACCTCTCTTAAGTAAGGCTCTGGGATGGGATTTGTTGTTGGATGTTGTTGGGGAATCGTCGGGCTCAGGGATGTCTTGGCACGTCCTGCTTGGACTTGCCGACAATGTCCTGCAAGCAGCGCACTTCCTTGGCTTGGTGCGGTAGCCCAACAATGCATGCGGTAGCACGTGCTGAAGCATGCTCCGGTGACTTTAGAGAAACACGTTGTGCTGCCCGGTGCACCATGTTACGTCATGTTGTGAACTTCCCGTAAACTGCATACTGTGTGCAGTTGTGACTCGTGCTCCGAGAACCAGGACTCACCCAGGTAGAAGCGCAGGAAGCTGATGGCAGCCTGGGGGACAGCAAACGTCCGGTTCCGGCAAAGCACCTGAGTGGTACGAGCGACACGTCGGCAAGAAGAACTCTCCTGCGAGACTGCAGTGATCTGAGAGGCATCTGATTGTATGACGAGGGGCGTGGTGCTCTTCCATTGTGGTCTCCGGAGCTTCGAACATAGGGGCTTCGGAGATCGTGTGCAGCACAAAGCCGTGGCTGGACTCGCTGGACTCGTGTGCTGAGCTTTGCAGGATCCAGCGGATGCTTTCGGCCTCGCTGAGTGACAAGGCCAGTGTGGACGTAAACCCCTTGGTGCTGTTAAAGAGCTGGAGAGCCACCAAGGCAGGTCGAAGTATCGGAAGATCCTCCGTGATGCGGCAGTTTGGAGAGAACCGCAGCCGAAGCCCATCCAAACGACCTCGGGCTTCCAGTGCCTTGGCTGCTTCCTTGGCCGAGCCGCTGGCGGCCATTGCTTTCAAGACGTCCGCCACGTCGGCCATCGATGGGAAGGACAATAAATGGATGTTTTGGATCTTGTCTCCGCCGATGACGGCGCTCAGAATCTGCTCCATCTTCTGCTGCAGCTCCCACATGCGGCTCTCACCGATGTGGGGCCGGCTGACTGAAGTATCCTTCTCTGACTCCACCTGGTGTTCCAGCTGCTGTTGCTGCTCCTGTTCACGCACAATTTCCCCCCCTCCGCATCCAAGGTCCTCTGGGAGATCGCCCAAGAGTTGCAAGGCCCTCTCCACCGCCCTCTCAACAGCCGCGGCCACCGGCGCTGCCTTCACGAAGGGAGCTGCCAAATCTCGCAGAGCCGCCTGCAGAGTCCGGGGCGCCCGCTGCACCACACCGGAACTTACGGTTTCCAGTAGCACCTCCACGTGATCTTTTCGGGGGCCGCCGCTCATGAGAGCCTCAGGGAAAAGGCTCAGCTTGAAGAAGCTTCCGACTGCACAAGTCACAAGTAGGCTCTTCAATAGAAGCAGCAAGAGCCTAAAGCTGCACCCGGCCTTCAAAGCCTGAGACTTCCAGGTGTGGCCCAAGTCTTGGCGCACGAGCTGGCGAGTTTGGAGCTCCTCCTGATCCAAGGAGCCTCGGTCAAACCAAGTCCCACCAAGGTCCCCCCCCCCCTTCCCCCATAGGCCCAGCTAGCAACACACAAAGGACACAAAGGATCACATACGGCTACTTCTCTACCTTTGTGTTGCCCATCTTTGTTTCGTAAGGTAACTAATGCATCCTATATTGATGGAGTCGAGGCACGCATCAAGAGGCAGGCCTGGATGTCTTGCAGTGCACGGGAGCTGTTCGAAGGAGGTACCGCTCTCGGGTCTTGCAAAGCACTTCGCATGTAAGCCGCAACATCTTCTGGCAGAATCCTGGCAAGCCAATCATAGAAAAGCCTCTCAAACAGAAGCTTCGGACCCCTGGAGGCTCTTGGTCGAGCTCTACACAGTGTCTACAGAGAATTGCAAACCTCAGAAGCGGTGCAAACTTTGCCAAGCATCATCTCGAGGGTTTGACCCCGGGCCAGGCCGCGCATGCGCCAGGCGCCTTGTTGCAGCTCCCGGATGCTCATGTCTTTTCCCATGGTGATGGCAGCAACCTCAGCCAGGTGGCGTCGGAATCTTCAGAGATGAAGACTCTGTGCTGACTTCTGTTCGCGGGCGCGATTCTCGGTTGTTGCCCCACATGTTCTTTCGCAGGCTCGAAGATCGTTTGCATGTGTACGCAAAAGCCACCAAAAATCCACACATTGTTTGGCTAAGGCCGAATCGCCGAAAAGATTTCACGAGTGTCACTAGGCAGCTCCGAAAGAAATGCTGTGCAGCGAGTAACGCAGAAGCGCCTCCCGTGTATCAATCGAACAATGGGAAGTGCAAGGGTCTCGTCCTCCTGTGCTGTCGTTCTTTCTCATGTTCCCGTTCTCTCTTGCTTTCGAGTATGTATAGTCTCAGGACCAATGACCATTGTCAATGTGTCACCGGACTACATATCCTTTGGGCCTCTGTCAAAAGATCTGCTTGAAAGGCAAAACGACTTACTTCCGCTCTAGTACAGTGCGGCCTGCGCTTAGAAGCTCTCATCGGAGTGCGCTTGATGCTTTGTGTTCTTCTTCTCATTATTCCCGGGATTTTACAGCTTTAAAACGTGTGCGGGTATGCGTGTTGCCCATTACCCCCTGCTTAGCAGGTGTGGACTATGAGGGAGGAAAGCTTGCCTTGATGCCCTCTTTTGCGAACACAAGGGTTTGGGCGCACACCCCTTCTCTCCCCAACTTGAGAACATGTTGACGAGCACCTACTATAACACTATCATCACAATCCGGGCTTCCCTTCTCACCCAACCCTGAGGTGCGCGCTCCGAGCGCCGGCTGGTTGATGTCGATGCCCGTGGTGTGGGGCTGATCGAAGTAGCAGAACCGCTTCTCCGGAAGGGTGCTGGCATCCTCCAGAGGCACTGCGGCTGCGGCGCCCTTCAGGAGGATCATGGGCAGGTCGGTGCCGCGGGCGAGGAAGATGCAGCCCTCCTTGCCATCTCCCTGGGTGAGGGGGCTGTCCATGAGCCACCTGGCAACCTCTTCGTTTTCCAGGCCACAGAGCAAAGCGGCCGTGTCGATCAAAGCACAGAAGTGCGGGCGCCTGCCAAAGCCATAGACTATAGTGACTGCTATCCCTGTCCACCAAAGCTGCTGCATCAACTACATTCACTGCAAAAACAAGACCCGTCCATCGCATGCAATGCCTACTACGAGACTTGAACAACAGTCGAAGCCCTCAACATCCCTTGAACGCCTTTGGGCCACGTACCCCAATAGGGACTGCGGCGTCCAGCCAGGCTTCAGGCAATGAAGGGTCACGAGGTGCGGTGATGACAGGATTGCCAGGGTCTTCCCGTCCGTGGCGCCGTCGAACTCCACGGGTGGCAAGCTCGAGGGGAGAATGTTGGTAGGGGTTCCAGAGAAGCCCAGGCGCACCTTGAACAACACCGGCGAAGCAAGCTCCTGTGCGCACGCCGACAGCTTCTTGGTCTGAGAGGGCGTGGCCTTTGGAAAGATCTCCCGGCGGAGGTAGTATAAATACACCGGTGCTTTTCGAGCCCAGAGCCTCTTCAGAGTCAGGATGGAGGCGGGATCGGGCTGGATCAGGTCCAACGGCAGAACTCCACCGGAGTCGAAGCCGTCATCTGAGGGATCCGCCCTTGTCCAGGCCTGGAAGCTTCGGAAGGCCTGGCGCTGAACTGTTGGGGTCCCCACATCCCGAAGAAGGTCGGACTTCAGCCTCAAGCTTTGAGAAGGCGCAAATGGGAAAAGCTAGACTTCAGGGTGAAGGGATACACAACATGTACACTATAGGCTACACTGCGAGAAGGAGGGAATCGGAGGCCCCGGCAGCAAGAGCATGGTCTTCACATCGCTGCGCCGCATGCCTTCGTGTCCGAAGGCCAGGATCGTTAGCCTCGCAGAAGATGCATATGCCAAAATCACTTTGCAAAGGGGGCCCTGTAGAGGCCACTTTAGTGCCCGAAAGTCACAAAAGCTGCCAAGGCACCCAATTGCCACATCTGGGTTTGCGAACTCCGATGCAATGGAGGGCGTTTCGAGACCAGTGAATGGCACGGCCATCTGCAGACGAGTGCCTCGAGCCGGGTAGCCTCGTGCTTCGAGGTCTGCAGTGTCCTTCGGTCTTAAGATGAGGCTGGACTCGGATGAAAGCTACTGGGAGGGAAGACTTCTGAAGGCTTTGGTATAGGGCTACAGAGGGCTTCAAATAGGTGTTTAGGGCTTAGGCCCGTTTAGGCATGCATGCGCCTTCCGTCGCAGGAGCCCATAATGCACGCGGTTCACTTTGGCCAGCACAAAAGGCAGCGTATGCCTCCACCATTCCAGGTTCACAGAGAGTTCACATGTGTTGACATCGCGTGTTGCCACTGGAAAGGTGCTTTACATGATTTCCAGGTGACTTCTTTTTCGGACAGGGATCCCCAACTATTCATTCCGACCCTCAAAATTATCCACAGCGCGTTGTAGATGACTCTTTTGGCAGCTAGGGGCCTCAACCAATCACGCCCCAGAACCAGCAGCTGGCTAGCCCGATTCCGATCCTTTCCACCAGCTGCGGGATCCCCCAGAGCGGCCAAGAGCCAATCATGCCTGGCTTGAGGGGTGCCGCCGACCGCTTGAAAGGCAGCGTGGGCGCTGAAGTACTGGCACAGCCAAGACCGCAAAGGAGGCTCGAGGTGAGTGTGGTAGAAGTCCTCTATGACCAGCACCACATGGGGGCTGTCGCGCAGGGCCAGCTGCTTTATGCCCATGTCGATCGCCTGCCGCAAGTTAAGGGTTAAGGTCCCCAAGTTGAGTTCCCTGAAAGGGCCAAAGAGAGGGAATGAGAGGGACTGAGAGGGACAAAGGCACACACAACAGGCAAGACGCCCCCACAAAAGAGAAGCTTCCTGCCTGGCGGCACTCATGCCAGGCAGGGCTCTCGCTGCCTACCTCCGCCTCCAGGCAGAGGAAAGGCTGCAGGAGATGCCTCAACTCGACGCATGGTACAAGCAATGCCAGGCAAGCAGCATTCAAGCCCGCCCTCTACCGCTCCGCTCCTTGCTACGTGAAGCCTAGGCCTGGGACCAGGCTCTCTTGTGAGACTTCTTAACACATAATCAATGTCATGATATACCACAACATAACATCAGGATCTCTAGAAGACCTGCCAAAGCCCTGAGCCCTAATGTTAAAAGGTCTATCCCAAGCTTCGTTTTGGGGTTCATGTCGTCCCCAACAGTTCGCTCCCAGGTGCATTGGCAACTCCCAGCGCTCCGGGGAGAGGTCCAGGGGCTCCCGGGCGCCGACCGGGAAATTCCTTGAATCACAAGGAAGGCAGGCTAGGGTTTAGGGTTTAGGGTTTAGGGTTTAGGGTTTAGGGTTTAGGGTTTAGGGTTTAGGGCTTAGGGCTTAGGGTTTAGGGTTTAGGGTTTAGGGTTTAGGGTTTAGGGTTTAGGGTTTAGGGTTTAGGGTTTAGGGTTTAGGGTTTAGGGTTTAGGGTTTAGGGTTTCGGGTTTCGGGTTTCGGGTTTAGGGATTTGCGGAGGACGAAGGTATTCTTGTGTTTTCAAGGGCAGTCTTGTAACTTGACTGTGGGGATTTCGTGCGCCGAAACTATAACAATCCCGTCCCAGGCGCAGCTCCGACATCAGGGGATGCAGGAGCAGATCCACTTCCTTCGCAAGCAGCAGCGTTCATAGGGTTTAGGGTTCAAGGCCCACCTAGGGGGAGCGGCCTTTTTGGGCCTCTGTTCTCTCCCCGCGTTACCCGATGTGAGGGCTGGCCGTTATTCGGGTCTTTTTTTGGGAGAGCCCGTTTAAGATGGCGATACGGGGCCCTGCTTCAGGACAGCTCTTCTTTTCTTCGAAGGCACGTCCAACACACCCACGCTCGACTGGAACGTCGCCAGAACACCGGCAAGACAGAGGCTGGTGAAATCCAGCTCTTTCCTCGGAATACAAGGGGCTCAGAGGAACTTTTAAAGCTTCTGAGTAGGGTGAGACACGTTGTGCCCCCAGGATCGATCGGCCGGCAGGACCATCACTTAGACAAAGTTGGCCACGGGGGCACACGAGTTCTTTCGTACTAAAAAGAGTGCCCACACTAAGAGTGCTTCAAAGCTGCTCGGGGGAGGTGTCGACGCCGACGAGCTTGGAGGCCAGCTCTAGACACCTGGTCGGCTGTTGATGGGACAGAATGCCTGCATGTCTCCACCCACAGAACTGAGGGGCCCAAACAAAACCCTTCCTGCCGAGATGCTGCTGGGCATTGCGAGCTGAGCCGGAAGGTGCTGTCTTTAGCCTGCTCAAATGTCAACGTCTAATGCTGAGACACCGAGAATTGCCGATCATGATACGTGTAGTGAGTAGGGAGTGCAATCTCAACGTTGCCGCTACCATCACTTCTCAAACTACCCCGAGCTTCTCGCGCAAACCATTGGCCTGCTCAGCTTCATCTCGGCTTCCACGAAGGCCAGGACGCAGCCTAGGAGGAGCCGCTTGCAGCAAAAGGCAGTGTAAGGACCGAACTACTCATTAGACCGGAAAAGGAAGAAATGGCTCAAAGGGGAGGGCGGACCGGGGTTCGCGCTTTTGATGGAGGAGGCCGTGGAGCAAACCTTGGCTTGGCATCCGCGACCAAGGGCTTTCACGCATCTTCGCGAATATGTCGAGATGAAGAACTGCTGATTGCTTTTTTCAAAGGGCAGGAGGCACAGGATTTCCATCACAAAACAAAATAGTGCAGCTCGGTGACGGCCGCATGCTGCTTCGTGGCCGTCGTCACCTTCCGCAGCAGGGCATACGCCGAGCTGCCGGTAGCGTCGGATCTGTCAAAGCCAATGTGGTAGACGGGCCGGAAGAAGGCCTCCGACGAGCTGACAGGCCCTTATATGCCCTTGTGTATGGTCACGTCTCCTACACCCAGCACCCAGCAGCGAGTGCAAGAATCAGTCCCACAGAGTACACGGCAGCTCTGACCAGCCGCAGTTGCACATCGGGACGGTCACATATGATCTGTGAATTTCACCGACTACTTGCCAATTTTCACCGACCATTTGCCACCTTGCTTTTTTCTGACTTCATTGATTCCTTGCCGTTTCAGTTTGAGTCATCAAGGAGTGGTGTCGCAAGCCCTTCGCATGACAGACCGTTTACGAAAGACAGCGTGCGCCGAAGCAGCTGGATGTTTTTGACCGTTCCAAAGAGGCATGTGGCAAAGGCAACCTATGCTCGTTTCGCGGTACCGTGCACAAGATGAAAACAATGCACAGCTTGCCTGCTACGTCCAAAGAGGACCACCCGAGATCTCCAACTTCATTGCACCAGACCATGGTTCATCTTCAAACCCTAATGCCCTAATCCCTAAACCCTCATCAGCCCTCATCCAAAAACCCTATAAACCCTACTCGCCTGACCGAAGAGGGCCCGCGTCATCGCCAAGCTTTGTGACAGCAGCGCATCGGGCACCACCTTGGATGACCATCAAGATGGGATCGTCAAGCGGTGTGTTTTTCTGGATAGTGAAAAGTAACGAGTTTTTGTGTCAATTCGCCAAAAAAATGTCTACAAGGTGCTGCCCTACACCCTCAACGCTACGAAAGAGATAGATATAGATAGATATATATATATATATATGTGTGTGTAGATGTGTGTGGCAAAAAAGCCAGCCGTTCCTTTTCAAAGCAAGGGCCCGATTCTTTAAGCGATGACCGCAGCTCGAAACCGTAAGCTTGAACATACTCGAAGCCCCTAAGCCGAGGCTGTGGCTTGGAGAACGAGGCCATCCGATGCCAAGAGCAGGCCGAGAAGCGGCGCAATCACCGCAGACTTGCCTCCCCCAGGTCTACAGGGTTCATGCAGGAGGTTCAGGGTCACTGACTTAGTCAGAATAACCGGAATATACTTGTACGAGCGTTTTTCGAAGGATCGCGTCTGGGGACTACTGGAATGTGGGGTTTCGATTAGTAAGTGGTTCGCACTGAAGCAAAATGTTGCCGAAAATCAACATAAAATTGCCTGCAATAGAACACAATGCTGCCCAAGCCCAATAATTCGCCTCGGCTTCTGGCCAATAGGCATCTACCCGAACCCTTCGACCGGGCCTCCCCTCTTCTGTGGGACCTGCCGAACTGCTTGGAGGAGCCGCAATCCGATGCCGTGGGGGTTCCAGGCTGTGCCCATCCCACAAAAGCCATGCCAAAAAACACGAAAAAACACTCCTGCAGCCCAGGACAGACAGGTGTTGTCCTGGTCCTGGGATCTATTCCCCAACAGGAATTAATTACACATGCCTGGAGCTCGGCGGCGTTGGTGGTGTTGACGCTGTGGGTGAACAGGTTTCGATGTCTGTTGGGGTTGGGCTGGAACTTAGGGTTGCATGGAAGCGGGGGAGGTTGGCAACTTACATCCGAGCGGACCAAGACCAAGACCTGACTCCGTACGCGCGCCAATGCAAGTCTTCCCTACTCTTCGCAGATTGAGGCGACTGGCTGCGGAGGATGTTCGGACGTTCCAGCTTTCTCAAGACAGCGTACCAAAACAGGCAGGTGGACAACTATCGAAGCAGCAAGTTCGCGCGTGTAGCCCTGACGCAATCGAACCCGTCGTACCTTTAGGACACTCTTTCAGCGCAAGCTTCGGCGTCCGGGACATGACATCTTGCACTTGCTAGGTTCAGGTTGGAGAGCCAACCACTTAGAGCCAACCACGATAATGCGATTGCTCTACTTGCTTTTCTGGCGTGTCAGTAACTGCTCCGGGAAAGCAGAACATGCAACACACTGCTTGCTGCGCGTGCACAGCAAGCAAAGCTTAAAATGACGTTGCAAGGGGCAGCAAAACCACACTCTGCTCACATCACTTGGCGGGCAGCAAAACCACACTCTGCTCACACCACTGGGCAGCAAAACCACTCTGCTCACACCACTTGGCAGTCAGCAAAACCTTCACAAAACCCCAAGGCTCGGAAGCTGCTGTCACTGAGCTCTGACACTTTGCTCACATCACTTGCCCCGGGCTCTGCTCACCTTGGTGGGCAGCTGTTTTCCACAACTGGCTGGGGGTCGGTGCGATCTTGTTTAAGCATCGCAGTTCAACATATCTCTGCACCTGGCTGGGGGTCGGTGCGATTCTTTTTGAAGCATCACAATTCAACATATCTCTGCATCTCTCTGCGCTGCTTTCAAGTCACCAGTCGCTGGGTTTGAGCCAGACAACGGACAACAATTGCGTTTACAGTAAACTCCTGAGCTTCCTGTCGCAGCGGAGCGCAGGCTCAAAGCCTTGCCCCCGGCAGCCGCATTAGCGCGTTGCGCTGCCGTCATTGGCTGGCACCCTCAGCCAGTTGGCCTAAACGCAGCGCTCCTTCGCGGACCCACACCCGGCCAGCGGTGTGGGGGCATAGCAATTTATAGGGTGCTGCTCATGCCTTTTGGTAGGTCCCCCGAATGGTCTTAAAAACAACCAGACCAGACTCTATTAACAGCAACCAGACCAGACAGACGGCCCAAACGCTCCTCCAAAAGACTCGGTGCGATTAAATAAAAATTAACCGGTCCTTACGCCGCGTAGTTCGAATGATGCTGCATGTACAGTGGATGACAAATAGCATCTACGCCCAAAAGTACCAAAATACAAAAGATTTCTGCTCCCAAAAGCGTACAAAAGATTTCTGCTCCCAAAAGCGTCATCCAGAAACGAAACCAAATCAAAATTTCGTGATCTCCAAGACACCTCGACGTGCACATTAAAAAGGCGTCCCAGAAAAACGAAAAATAAAAGAAGACAACGAAGATGCCAAAATTGAGTCATATCAAGGATGAAATCCAATTATATACAATACAGCACGCTTCCGAGAGAGATTTCTCACTCGAGAAGCTCAGGAGAGAGATCTCAGAAATAGAAGTAGCACTTCATCTCAGATAGATTGTCCAAATCAATCCGTCCTGCGTTGGGGGGTTACCTGATAATACAATCGCGAGATCAGAAATGAATGTCTGGAATGAAGCGGTCGTATTGCCCGGTGGAGTGTTGGTCGCCCTCTCGACGACGTTGTACGCACCTATATAAATGACGTTGCAAGGCAAATGAAATGCGTTCACGTAGTCGGCTCTTAGCGCTGCCATTGAGTCGCTCCAATGGTCCATCTACTGCTCGACAGAAAGAATCCAATAAACGACCCCCCTCGGCGTTCATCCCTCCAGCTTAAGGAAAGCAGTAAAGGGGTTAAATCCCTGAGGGTTCTTCAGCGTTATAACCCTAAATCCCTGAGGGTTTAGGGTTGGGTTGTTGCAATGCCCTCTTAAACCCTGAACCTTGAACCCCTATAGGGTTAAAACCCTATAGGGCTACCCCGAATAGAGTAGACAAACTCTGCAAAAACCTAAACCTTTAAACCCAAGAGGCTTAAAGGTTTTGAACCTCAACCTTTAAACCTATAGCGTTTCAAGGTAAGCTATTCGGTTTAAATACCTAACCCTACAGGGATTAAGGCTTAAACCAGTTTGAATGCCCAAACCTAGGTTTCAATCCCCAAACCTTAAACCTTTAAAAACCCTTATAGGGCTTCAAGGTTTCAATGCTGGGCATTTATACCTTCAGCGCCTGTGGGCTGAACACCCTTGAACCTTTTAGACCCCTAGAGGGTTTAGGGTTCATGTTTTCATACCTATAAACCTTAAACCCTTGAGTTCTAAACTCTATGGGCTTAGCTTTAAATGACTAAATCTTGAGCCCTAAGCCTTGAAACCTTAACCCTATAGGGTTTAAAGGTCGAGAGTTTAGGCTGAACTACCGGCTCAAGTTTGAATGCCTAAATCGTAAACCCTAAACCTTAACACTTTAACCCTATAGGGTTTAAAGGCTAAGGGTTTAGTTTTAATTGCCGGCTCAGGTTCTAATGCCTCAACCTGAAGCCCTAAACCTTCAAACCTTAGCCCTATGGGGTTCCGTGAGTTTTGAACTTCAATCTAGAGTTTTGAGCTTCAAAACTCCGGGATGGCAGTCTGGGCAGCCCTTGATATGCGAATCTTAGCAGCTATTGGCACTACTTGGTGCACAGCCTTAAGTCATTTCACCTTCGTTTGGCCACCGCGTTGAAGCCTCGCTCAATCCAATGCCGGCCAACTCGGTCAGCGCAGAGGCATGGCGTGGATGGTTCGGGGTCATGATCTGCCTCATGTCGGCGTGAGGGTGCGCCGCGGAATCGGAGCCTGGCAACAGGGCACAGACAAACGACGCCAGAGGTTGCACCCTTTGCGGTGGGGTTCTAAACATTTATGCTTCACTAGCAGCACAACGGGCCTGCCATTCTGGCCACTGCGCTCATTGCGGCTGTTCAATCACGAAGCGGGCATGTTGTGACTAAGACGAAGACCAACGAAGTCAGGGGTAATGACTAGTAACTGGACATAGTAGTGCACTGTCATAGTCAGGTGTGTTTTGCTGTGTGGCCACAGGGATCCTGGTGTAGGAACGGATATGTTGAGCCGTTTTGTTTGAGCTCTGGCTTCCAAGATCTGCAGTAGCTCCGTGAGCACGACATCACGAAGCTCCCTTTACATGGCAGCCTTCGTATGGGGGGAACTCTCGTGTTTTAAGCTTTTCCCTGGCACCCTCATCGCGCTTGAGCACATCATTTGCGCTGGCACAGGCGGACGGCGTATGTACAAAGTGCTGCAGCTAAAGCTTTGAGCTGCAACACCCTGGGCTACCTGGCCTGACAGCGCATCAGACACAGGGAGGCGCAAGCACGTGCAAGCACCTGGAACACTTCGGAGGGGTCGTTACGCACGCAGCAACCAGCCATAGGCCAGTGCCTCAGAGACCTGGGTCGTCGTAGACGAAGTTGGCGGTCAGGCTTCTTCCCGGCTGACCCTGCAGATGCAGAGACTTCGTGGAAAACGCAAGAAGCCCCTAAACCCTAAACCCCAAACCCCAAACCCCAAACCCATGCCTTCTCCCAGGCGCCCAGGCCCTGCTCAAGGCGGCCCACGGTAGTCTCCATGTGCTTGCGCATCGTCACCTCAATGGGGACACTCGGAGTGGGAAAACAGCGAGCTTCAGTAGATGACAGAGCAGAATACTGAGTAGATGATCGTGGAGCAAACGGGAGCGGATGCGACTGTCTCTTGCCCCAAGCCGAAGCTTGTCACAGGGCTCCTGATTCAGGACTCCTGATTCTACGGCGATTCTGAAGTACAGCCGTCTGTTAGTCTCGCCCTGGCTCTTTGCTTGTTGCTGTCGCTGCCATCCGTTGCAGTATACGTCGTCGCCCTTCCCCTTTTGTGCAGGCCCTGTCCACTTCCGCTTCCCTCATGACTCAGGCTGAGGCAGGGGTGTACCTGGCTGGTCGCGACTCTGTCACGAACTGGGCCAAGGGCTCCACGAGGGTTTCGGGAGTCACGGCCTAGGAATGCGTGCGACAAGGCTGACGGATTGCATGGTCCAGATATCGGCTGCATCCAATTGCCAGTTGCCATGTCATATCATGTTCGCCCTCAGGCCGCAGCATTGAAGCGGATGATGGAAAACCTTGGCATCACCACCCAGTCGCGGCCACAACTGTCACAACAGCCCCCTCCACAAGCACAGGGATTCAATCAGAGCACTTTTGAGGTGTAGGAGGATGGAGGCCACAGGAACCGCCCGGCACAAGTGAGCAGTATTGCACACACAGGGTCGTCAAGCTGTTTAAGCAAAGGGCCGCTCCCACGTGGTCTGAAGCACGCGATGCGGCGTCGCTCGGAGCATCCCGTTCGTGAATCGCTCCAGGATGTCTCCCACGATCCTCGAAATTCAGGCGTTTCAGGCTCAGGATCGCGTGGTTTGCTCGGACTTCCATGAAGCAGAATCATGCCGAATCATGCTGAACCGAGCGGCACCACGAACTCTTCCTCGCGCACGGGCGCATCCACCCAATCGGAGCCGTCCGGTGGAAGGAATTGCAAGCCCGGCGCGTTCTGGTGCATCAACGTAAACGCCTACGCACAGGGCCGACATTCCGAAAGGGCCGTAAAGCCCCACCAGTTCTGAACGTATTTGTCACCCCTAGCCTAGATTCCCAAGCCCAGAAGCTTAGAGAGCCGAGAGAGTCTAAAGCACTGGAGTTGCGACCTCGAGCCCTAGGACGCTGCCTCGAAGTCGGTGTGAGGGCTGATGCCGTAATTCCTTGGCGGGGCTTTTTGGAATACGGACGAGAACGTGGCCGCAGCTCTAGCATTTCGCTTGCCATCCCGGAGCATCCCGGCACTCTGGCAGCCAAGGAACGCTTCCTGACGCCGCCTTGCCTCCTCTGAGCTTGTGGCGGCCGGGTAGTGCAGCAAGCGGATGGTGCCCATATCTGAGCGAGGTCCAGAGCTGTTCAGATGCGACGAGCATTGTCGGGCATCACAAGCAGGCACGGTCGGGACGCTCTGAGAGTCGAACCATCCCCTGAGAAGCAGGAAGAGAAGGTGTCGCTCGGGAGGTCCAGCATCTCTGCGAAGGCCGTCATCAAGGCCATGGCCAGGCGATCCTGGCGTCCATACAGATCCTGGGCCACAGGTTTTATCCGGAAGTATTGGAAGTGGCTTTGCCAGCCGTGGTAGTGACTCGACCCTCTCGGACTACTTGGAGCTTAAAGGCAACAGGATTCGGAGGGCTGTGAAGGTCCTATGACGTTGCATGACACCGAGCAAAGCTAGCAGAAACTTGGCGACATCCAAAATCGTGCCTCAAGGCTGCAGGAACTCATAGAATGAAAGATGACTTGCGTAGATGCTGCCATGAGCGAACCTGCTATTCTGCATGGCTACGTTCATACATTCCCTGGCCCTCAGTTTGGCTCCAAAAACTCTGGGGGTTGGGACTTCAACATCACTTGTTGTTCAGCTGCAGCAGGAGTCATCCAAGAAGTCGTGAAATCCCAGGTCAGAAGATGGGCAGCGCACCTGCACTGCTGCAAGCTGGGTTCAAGCCGCACTCCGAAGCTTACCACTAGCCAAAAGAAGTACTTCCGTGGATCGGAAAGCCCTGGCGAAGGCTCGCATGAAATCAACAAGCCGCGCCTCCGGATGTGTGCGGCCAGACGTAGGAAACCGCACGCGGCTGAAGTCCCAGGCACGAACAGTGGAGGCGCTTCCTGCCTGGCAAACATCTGCCGACCAACGCCGCCAAAGGAATCGAAAGCCTGAGAACGGACGTGCGCCTCGTAGGCGAGCTCTTCCACGCCAGCCTTGGCTGCAAGACCAGCGATGTGCATGTGCCTTTACTCATCCCGGATGGCACCTGGGCCACAGCTTCCACGACACCCTGTCTTTGTGACCCCTAGCCGGCCGAGAATGGAGACAGTTTTTGCATGGAATTCAGATCATCTTATGTTGCCGCCTGGCAGCATCTGAGCCCGAGTAGGTACCTTGGCTTAGGCTTGACGGCAGCGGATGGCAACGACAAAATTGTGATCCGCACATGTCCCCCCCCCCTTGCTCCTCTGGTCTATGCAGGGCTTATGGGCCTTATCGGGTCTTTTGAGGGCTCAGAGGATTCAGCGCTGCTACAATCTGCCATAGGTGCCTTTGGGTCGTGCACACCGCCGCTTCTCGGCCACGGGCAAATCGTGGAGGCAGCGCGCGAAGGCGTAGACCTCTGCTCCAGGCCGCAGGGAAAGGCCAGACGAACAATTGCAAAGCTTTTCCAGAATTTCACAAGCAGTTGCCGATACCAGCACTTGAGGCAGTAAACAAGGGAGAACAAGGGTATGGACGTAAACAAACCTCGCCACTCGCTCGATGTACTTCTGTGGCAGGGAGTCCACGTTGCTAGCGTAGAAGTACCCCCGTGTGCTCAGAGCATTCCGAATCCTGAGCGCGGAAGACATCGGATGACTACTACACCACAAGCCCTCAAAGAGCCATGAGTCTTTACTTCGCTGGGCCACCACTTTGAAGAATTGATAAATCCTACGCCGGGCAACTCGGTCAGCGCGGAGGCACGGCGTGGATGATTCGGGGTCATGATCTGGCTCATGTCGACATGAGGGTGCGCCGCGGAATCGCAGCCTGTCAACAGCACAAGGTTCCAAACTCCACTGTGGGCGAGACTGCACCACTCAGGGTGCTTCTATCAATTGATTGTGGGACTGTTAAGAAAGAGAGTAAGGACACTGACAAATCAGCAAACAAATGTTTTTACATTATTAGATTACTGGCAACATCGCAAATAACGTAGTAAACGTTTGTTGGTATGAATCATTACAATAATAGTCAAAGGATAGCAGTAATACATAATATAAGCAAAGTAGGAAAATGTGTACGGCATGTATAGTACCCGATGGGTTGTTTTTCATTTTCACTCATGCTCCACTCGCAGCACAGTCCTGTCAAGGGCCGCACATTGACCAGATGACGAAACTTCATACCTGGTCGAAGAGCTGCGTGGCAAGCTCAAGGCTTATAAGGCTTAGGGCGCCATTGGCGTCACTCAACACAGACTTCGCAACCGCAGAAGGCATCTGCTGGAACATACATGGTTTGCAGGAAGTGGCGTCCTTCATACACTGCCTTAAACCCTAAACCCTAAACCCTAAACCCTTGGTTCTCAGCCCAGATGCTTCTTTGGATGCGCATTCTTGCAGGGTGCTGTTGAAGGAAGCTCCACGACATGGCTTCCAGATCTTCCAAATCTGACGGATGGAAACCCTAAACCCTAAACCCTAAACCCTGGAAGCAGTCTGCGATACTGCTTGCGATGCAAGCTTGCGCGCAATGGCTTGTTGCATAACAAGAAGAAATTGACATCAGGGCTGTTGTTGTATGGCACCGTGGTGAGCCTAAGCGGCTTGCATCGGGGAAGTGATGATGCAGAAAGCTAACAAGGGATCGCAGGCCGTGCTGCCAGGGGTATGGGAAACCTTCTCAAAAACAAATTCCCATTTCGAGCTCTGCGGGGCGTCCAGTCAGCTGGGCGTGGGAAACTTGTTGACGCCGGCATTCGGTTGTGCCGATTGGAGGAGGTTACGTCGGAGAGGCCCAGTTAAGCCTCTCCAAACTCTGCACGGTGTGACTGCGTGCGAGGGTTGGAATCGTCTGCCCAGCCCCAGGGTAGCTTCTTGATGCTCCTCAGATCTCCTCAGCTGCACTAATGTCATCAGCCTGGAAAATCACGCGGATGGCGTCAAGCTTCGTCGAGGCTCAAGAGTCTGCTTCGCAGTCCGGTGCCCACATGACGGTCCTCACATGTCCTCACCCAGGTCATTGTTGTCCTTGGCACGAGTTTCCAAGCAACGGCAAGCAGGTTGCGACACGACACAGAATTTTGATTGAATTTTGCATGACTCCAATCGGGCACTACGAGATTGCGTTCAAGGCAGCGGTCCGGTCTCCCTCTCTCTGTTGGTGTCTGTGTCTCTGTTCATGAGCGTGTCTCAGAATGACAGCAAATGTGTTTTGTTCGCAAGCTGGGCCTCAATAGCAACTGTAAGCCAAGAGACATGCCTGGCCCTGTGGCTATCTGCACGGGCCGGGAAAAGCCATGCTCTTGGATAGTCGGGCAGCAGTTTGCTGTGACATCTGGCACTGCGCCGTTATCTCGGCGCGCACCAAGACCGGAAGCTGTGCAGGCCGATTTGACCTGGAACTTGAGTGTTGGTTTTGAGGCCTTGTTGGGGCGGAAAATGCAGGTTGGTCAGGATATCTTCTTGACATCTCCTGCCAAAAGCGGGCCACTGTTGTGATATCCGCCATCTGCGGAGTGTATCACCCTGCCCCTACAAGTTGAAAAACAAGACATGCATACCAATGCTGGGCTCGCCACTGGGAGAGGTGTGGTGGCTTGTTCTTTCACATTCTGTGAGCTAAAAATAGTATGGAGGGCAAGTGACAGTGAGGATAGTGCCATGAAAAATGCCACACACGCTCGAGGCGTGACACCCCCTGTTCAACGGGCTCCCTGGGCCTGATCGACCGAATCGGCTCTTGAAAGTCGCCGACCTTTTTTTAGCCGCTGGAAAACCCAAGCAGAGCACAGTCAGCACAGTGCCCTGCCCGGTGCTCGGAGTATTCGGAGTGCTCACAGCCACACTGCGTACTCAGCCTGCCGTTGCGCAGGCTGAGTACGCAAGCGGGGCGCAGAAATCGGCGAGTCCAGCATTTGCCAGGGCTCGTCGTCTGATGTCAATGATGCGGCGTACGTGGATAGTCTCCGCTGTACCAGCGGCTCTGCCAACTGATTCAGCCAAGGCATGGTGAGGACCAGTGGTGCGGAAGGCCGCGCATGCTTTGTGATTGCCAAGCACCGCTTCACAACATCTTGGCACTCCGGTGAAATGGCTTCCCACTGGACGCTTTGGCACAGCACCGGCGCTGCGCAAACGGCTGCTGCAAACGTTGTCAGACTGGGATATCCACTGATACGATGAGGAAGTGACCCGATCAGCATCAAGTGCAGACACAAGCCGGCACCCCAGACATCATGCTGCTCGGAGGGCGATTCCCCGTTCAAGACCTCCGGGGCGGCGTACTCTGTAGTTCCCGTCATCGTAAGCGAGCCACCCTCCAGGAGAGGCCGCGCGGTGTTGAAATCAACAAGGTGCAGGTCCATCAAATCAGGCGACACCAGAACATTGTCGGCTTTTACATCCCGATGCACGATGCGGTGCTCATGCAAGTAGGAGACTGCTGACATGAGCTGGTAGAAGAGCAGCTGAGCGGCCGTTTCCGACAAGCGGCTGTCTGTGGAGTCTCTGACAGCCCTGCAGAGCGTGCCACCTGCGTGGTAGCTCAAGGCGAGGACTGCTGTGCAGTCCGAACAGAAGAACTCCAGAGCTTTCACGATGTTGGGATGACTCAGGCGGCCAAGAATCTCAAACTCAGCGCGTCGTGAGACAACCACGTCCGTACTGGTTGCTGACATGAACTTTAAGGCAACTTGCATGTCATCCTCCTTCCGCCGAGCTCGGAACACTTGCCCACTTGAACCACGACCGATTTTTTCAAGCAGCACATATCGCTCTTCGACCTCGTGGCAAATGGCGTGATTGAAGCCGTCATAGGAGTTGGACCTTGGGCACACGTCTAAAATAAAGGCCACGAAAACCCCAAACTGCCAAACCCTGCATGACACCCCGTCAGACGGCGGACGAACAGCTTGTTCAACCCTTCAGCCCCTCAACATCCTAAACTTTTTTAAGCCTAAACTTCCTAAACCCTTACCCCTGAAAGGCCCTAATCCGTCACATCCTAAACCCTTCCTTACCCTGTAAAGGCCCGATTCCGCCCTTTCCCTTTGCGGCTTGGCAGCTTCGTCTCCACCGTCAGGGTCAGGTTGGCGGGTTTCCCCGACTTTCTTCGCTGTAGGAGGCCGGGCATCGTCGGGGATTCCAAGATTCCAAGGTTTTTGATCCCAAACAGCTGGAGCGGCTCTGTATGCTGCATATATGCTACATATTCCATGCACCCGCATTGCAACTTGGCTCCCCTTCAAGCTGCTCACTTCAGCGAGTCCGCGGCGATCACGTAAGGATGCCAGCGGCACCTGCGCAAAAGAACAAAATAGGCGGGCTCAAGGAGGGTGCTTCCTGTGAATGGCTGCAGTCGAATCAAGCGCCTGTGAACAACCTCTTCAGGAATCTGGCGATCTGAAGGCAAGTCGCCTCGTCCTCTCCTGAAGGTCCCACCCACAGCCAACATGCTCGCATCACTCATGATTCACCAGTGCACACTGACACTTTGAGAGCAGAGGATTAAGGCATCCATTCACTCCGATTGTGGGGTAGATGTGGTTGCCCATGTGCGCAGCATTGACATCTTGTCCCGACTTTGCGGCTTCTTGGGGCCCTGCCCAAGAGCACTCGCAGGCGCATGCCTGCTGCGTGCATCTAGGATCATGTCTAGGCTTTCACTGCTGACAGTCCGCATGCGCAACTGTCCCGCGCCACCACAGTAGCGAACAACTAACGAAAACGTTTTACATACAGATCATCGCATTCTGCATCCACAAGAATGCGGAAAAAACAACGCCCCAAAAGATCTCACCAAAATACTATCATTCCCACCGCATTCAAAAAAATGCAAGAGCCCATGCCAGTCATAGGAAGGATTCTCTCAGCATCAAGCAACTTTGATCATTCGACCCTTCGTTTCCACGAACACCTGGCTCCTCTGCCTGCGCACATGGCCTGTTGTTGCGCAATGTTGGCTGGAAGCACTAAGCCCTAGGCCCTAAGCCGTGAAACCTGAACTTTGTTTCGGCACAGGCTCTCCCGGCCTCGAAATCGCGCAGCAAGGCGATAGCTTCGCAAAGCCTGGCTCCAGGACCTCTGCAGAAACTGGCTTTGGAGGGTTCAGAGTTCATCTCGGGATTATATAGGGCACCCTATATCCCCCCATTCCCTACTAAGCAACACGAAGAAGAAGCCCCCACAGGAAAGGAAACAGGGCCTGCACTCCCTGTCAGTCCAAACCCCCGAAAACGCGCCCAAACCCTCACTCCCCTCAACCACTCCAAGGTCCTCAAAACCACCAACAAAGCGCCAAGCGCGAAGAGCCCTATATAAGGTCCTAAAGCCAACACTACGGAGGTTTTGGGCTCCCACAGCCGGTTGCGCTTTGCACCCAGCGGGTTCGCCACCGCAATGGCGACGGACTTGGGCAAAGCCTGCAGTTGAGGACTGAAGATCCTGAGCACCAAACCCCAATAGACTCTAATCGACCCCAATAGACAAACCCTAAACATCCCCCAAAAATTTAAACTTTAAACCCTCTCCAACTGCAGGCTGTCGGCTGAGGCTCGGGTCTTACAGACTTCCGCGGCTGGATGCAGGGCACTGCGGAAGTACCAATAAACCATCTGTAGCTCCGGGCTTCAGGTTTCATATCTTCTGTGCGATTGTCACGCATGCGACGGTCGTATGACGACAGCCCGAGCTTTACCAGTTCCAGCCCGCTGCTACTACAGGAGCGGGAGCTAGGCTGTGAGCTAGGGTGCCTAATTTCATTGTGGCAGCTCGAGTGATGCTGATCCTCAAAAGAATGCCTCTGCACTTTGCGGGACTTGGCCCTCTGCTGCCAGGAGGTCCGGCAAGTCATAGTGTTTGAGTACTCCATGAACTTGCATCTGCCACCTTGACACCGGGACATCCTCCATGAGAGCTTGCTCTGCCTTGTTGCTTAGATTCATCGGCCGAAGATTGATTAACGCCTGTAGCTTGCATTCTACAGTCTTTCGCTCAGCCATCGCGAAAGCCAAATTGCTACTAGCAGAAGTTGTACTGCGCAGCGTCAAGTGCGAGTAGCTGTGTCGCTGGGCTTGTGGCATCATTTGGCTACTAGTAAGCTGGACCCATCCGAAGCCCACACTGCTGCCGAACTCGAACTGCACGTGTGAATTGACAGTGAGCTTCCGAGCTCCCCAGCGGTAGGCGATGCTTCCGAACACGGACCTACGGGATGGCAATTGCAAGCGGGACTAGCTAGCACGCCCAGAAACTGCCGCAGCATCATGCCCATCGTTTGGATCATTGTCGCATCAAACCAGGAAGTGGCGGTTGCAAGGTCCCTCTAGGCATCCAGCCACATCAGCTAGTTCCGCGACTGCGTACAGCAGGACCACGGCGGCTAAGTGCGGCACCTGCCACAAGTTTTGTGGGGATCCTTTGACGTCGCAGCTGATACAAGTCTTACATAAGTGACAGAAAATCAGAAGGTCAGCATTGCTTGGAAACCTTAGTCGCCATGGCCTCCCGATCATGTCGTCATCGTCATCATCGGCAGCAACAGCACCACCACCCAAGCACAATCATATTGATTACTGTTCTTACTCATCGACAGTCATGGGAAACCAAGCATGCCCTATGCATGCCGGCGGACTAGTTTCTGGATGGCCAACATTGCCAATATCAGAGCAGAAATGGCCCTGCTTCTACGCCCACAAGCACAGTGCATGCCATGCTTCACAGCGTGGCAGACCGAATGCATCATCAAACCACAAGCTAATGTAGGACTTTAGAAGGATCAACGGATATCAACGGCCCTGTCACCCGAAAACTGCACCCGGTGCAAATTCGCCAGTGGTACATGCGGGGCTGCCTGTCAAACAGCGATCACTGTGACGCTGCATACTCTATACTTCGTGCAATGACCCTCGTTGATCTTCGCTTGCAGCAGTGTGGTACGTACTGCAGCAACTGCAAACGAGAAAAACGATTCCTGTGGTGGGAGCCCCAACTGTGGAAATGCAACGTCGCAGTGTCCATTGGCACCGTAGGCTGCGGACATGAAGCACAGCTGCGCTCGAGCTGCCGCGAGCCATCAGGACAACCTCTTGATGACCCCAGCATTCTCGGCCAGTGCTCTGTCTCAACGCATGGCACTCTGCAGGTTTGCCGGTGCTCAGGCATCAACGTGATGACATCTCAACTGCCTGGCCAACTCAAGTAGATGGAGAATGGGCGGATATCGCCGGGCATGCAGACAATCGCAGAAATTGAAACCGGATCGCTCGGATGTGTAAACAGCATCCGTGAAGCAGGAGTCGTCAAGCAGCCATTTGTCTAAGCCACAAGCTTACAACCACAGGACTTCGGACTGATAATTCCAAAGTAAGACCTTTGAAAACCCACCGGAATCTGCACCAAAGAAACATGGCATATGCATCATGTGAAAAAACTTATCGTCAAGTTACACTTTTGCTACGCAAGGCCGCAAGGCCAAACACCAAGTTCTTGTTGAAGAGCTGTGCCTGAATGCCCAGGCCACGGTGGCAAGAACCTGGCGCCAAAGTCGTGCCAACGACCGAGAGATATTCCAATGAGGCTGCAGCTTGTACAATATCCAACGCCTGCCCAAGATCCGAAGCCTTCAGCTTCTACGGCTCCAAAGCAACCGGAAAAAAAAAAAAACTAAAAACAAAAAATGAATAAATATTAGTAGTAATAATCATGATGATAACAATACTAAAACAGGCTTCGCCTCGGAGCCGTGGTAGCCGACGTGGGACTTGCCTGCCCCAAGTCGGAGAGTCGGAAAGCTGCAGCTTCGAGGGCGAGGCTAGCGTAGACATCCTACCCCAATCCCGAGCCACCACCATAAACCCCTACTTGGAGGTTCATGGTACTTACTAGCCAATTATAACTGTACTTATAACCCTACTTATAATACCCCTAAAGGGCCTTAAACCCTAAAGTTCTAACACCCTAAAAACCTAAGACCGTAAACCCTAAGACCCTAAAACCTGAAACCCTAAAACCTCAAAACCCCAAACAAAAGGGACGAAAGCTCACCAAGGTAGCGGGCAGTGTCGAGGCTGGAAGCTGCAGCTTGGATTATATTGTAAGTTTAGAGTTTATATACTAGTCTGAAAGATTTAATATTCACAATATGACTTTATTGGCTTATCCTATTTCTTATCTTATGTCTTACATGTTTTTACTGTAAGGGAACCTAACCGATGTACAAATGTGAGGCCTCTAGAGGTTAGAAGTTCGTATCGAGCACGCGAAGGACTAGTATACCTGTGGATCCCAACCTAATGTAATACAATATACTAATAAATATATAATATATATTAAAAACTTACATAATCTCCATAACAAAATTCAATCCAACAATAATATAACAGTATAACAATACTAATATACAATTCTCAAAAACTTTGGGTTGTACCCCCAAACGATCAGCTACACAGTGTCTAAAATGGTCTCAAATGAAGCCCCTTTCTCAAGTTTGAGGAGAGCTTCTGCAACAACTTCCAACAATGCTTGATTTCAGAGATGGCTTTCTTGAATAGCGATGGTGTCGGTTGTCAATGACTGCTATCTTGCGCACGGCCATGTTGTTGTGCTATTCCTTCGCGGCAAGCTTCCGGGCAGGGGGGGGGGGGGGGGGGGGGGGGGAGTTGCTGCCCTCGCCTGGCCTAGCAGAAGTGGGGCAAACTGCCAAAGACCACCTCGCCAGAACCTGAATTCCAGGTGGCGCCCAGCATGCCTACAACCCAAAACCCTAAACACCCCACTATGAGAACCTGAAAAATGGGCAAGAACTGGCGAGTCTGAGGGTTGGCACGGGTCGCCCTGTCCACAAAGTCCGACAAAGACCACGGTGCCGAATCCGTGCCCATGCCTGGGTGCCATGTAGGAAGTTTGCGAAATAGGGCCCCAGTTGGGGTCCTATGTATAGTACGGCACCCATACAGGACCCCACAAGAGACTCCAATTTAGAGAACTACCCACATAGGAAAGGCTCAGGCAGGTTTAGGGTTGAGGGCGTTGCGAATGCTTGCCTGATGGGCTCATCTTCGGCGCCCTTGCCATGTAGGGGTCGTGGCTCCCCTATTCTTTTTGGCGCTCAATGTCGCTGGCGTTGTCCCATCCTTTCTCTGAGATGGAACGGCTTACCTTTCCGGATCCAAAAGGGGAAGGACTGTCCAGGAGCCACACGGCAGGGATCCGATCGTTCGTCGTGCACACCATCCATGTCCAGTCAGTAAGGAACCACTAGTCCAGCACAGCGTTAAGTGTTAGTTTGTAATATGATGGGCTGAGTCCATCGCACATCTGGCAGGAGATCATGTGTCTCAGCACGCGCGTTGCCGACCTCTCTCTGACAGCTGAGACATGGGCAGCTGGTTGAGCAAGTCATCCTGGCCAGAGGAGAGATGCTCTTGGAGAAAAACCTTCATATTGAAGCGAAAAGTTTCAAAATCATCCTTCCGATTCCTCGTGCTTCGTCAGCTCGCGGTTCAGGTCGGCCGCCCCACCAAACACCAAGACAGCGATGCCGGCCTGCTTCAAGGGCCCACTGCTGCTCGCTTTAGATTTGAGTAAACTGCGGAAACAGCTTTTGGGAAGAAGCCGTCAACTGGCCTCCTTTGCAGGGCTCCTCCAATGCTCGAAAAGCCGCAGCCTGAAGATCCCACATAATTAGTACTAAATAGTACCACATGGGGTGGGTTTCGGCTTCATTGGGATTCCGGGTTTAAAATTTGGCAGATGCTGGGAAGAGACAGAGGCTGCACAGGGAGAGGCCGGATCTCAATACCGCTTCCCTTCAATCGAGGGAAGGCTCTCTCATGGCCTCTGCAGTTTGGCAGTGGGTAATTTGAAGGTATGCTAAGGTGGGGGCCTGGATCCGGATGCAGGATCAAGACAGTATGACAAACACAAGATGCGAAAGCCGAGGTCGCAAAAGTCTTCAGTCTCCCCAAGCTGAAAGCTGAGACTGTCCGGGCGCCCAGCGTGACAGCACAGGCATCACTAGAGTAGAGGACGTATATCTCCTCACAGCAGCGCAGCGCACATCTCGTATGCAATGTAACTATCTTTGAATGACATGCTTAAGGAAACACAAAACACAGCTTCCAAAGAATCGCTCCTGCTTGCCCAAGGAGAAGTACTGGGTTCGGGCAACCTCAAAAGCAACGCCAGCTTCCAACATTCCAGCAGTTGACATGACGCCATCCTGACATGTCAATATCTCTTGTATACCACTCACGTGAGTGCCCTGCCACCACAGAGGGCTGCTCCACTGGAATTGGCGGCATCTCCAACAACTTCGCCGCCTCTCTCACCTTGGTTCAGGGCGGAGGCCTTGAAGGGCCGCGGGTCTGAGCCTGTCGGGCCCCAACAGTGAGCTCATTGGGCTCTGGGCTTCGTCAACGGCCCCTCTCGACATTCGCACCAAGCGCAGGCTGACCTGACTAAAGCAGGCGACAATGGGTGCTCTCCAGTTGAGTGGTAATATAGACCCCTAAAGAGTAGGATTCGTCTAGAATAAGGACCCCAATAAGGTACTCCCTAACATCGGAAACCCCCAAGTCCGACTCGGCCTCACCAAGGCTGCCGAGCCAACTCCTTGCACCTGAGATCAGCTGCAGCCAGATCTGGCCAGCAAATGCCACTGGAAAACAGTGGCAGGTCTCAGCTCGAACATGAGATTCATTAGATTCAGTAGATGTTCCTGCTTGAATGACGTATCTGACATGTGGATTGACATGTGGAGCAGAGCAAGCCACACTATCTGTAGAACTACATCCTGAACCAGACAGCTTGGCAGCGACTTGGCAAGTACTACACGGGTACGTGGTGCCGTCGCATCGAACCCACATGAACCCAAGAAAATCTCATTGGTTTGACTAGGTCACTAGGCTTGACCACACCTCAGCTAAGCCACCAAGCGACTTCAGCGCCAAGACTGCCTGCAAAGCTGCAACCGCTGTAGCAGCCCGGTGCTTATAAAGTTGTGCCTCCAGAGGCCCATTAAGCCCATTGTTCTGTCATCCATTCGGGAGCTCCGCAGTCGAAGGCTGGGACAAAAACGCTAGAGAAGGTTTGCCGCCATGGGCCATGGGGCCATGGGCATTAGCTTCGCCCTATATAAGCGTCGCCTGTGCCCTGCGCAGGCTTGAGGGGACCTGGATCGTCAGGACGCAGCCTCTGCACGCCGACGTCGAGCACGGAGACGCTGCCGCGGCACCCGACTGACTTTGGCGACATGACGGGGCACCTGGCACGCAAAGCCGAACGCACCAAGTGAAGAAATATGTATCTCGCGACAGCCCACAACCATGGGGGCCAATTTGGAGTCCGACTCCGCCCCCCCACCCCCAGTATCCCGTGACAGACATCAAGCATGCCAGGCATCACGAGGACGTCACGCCATCCACTTTCGGGTGTGACCCCAATCTCAGCAAGTCCACACGCAGAATTAGCATTGGAGTATGTGACGAGCATTCTCAGATGGGTATCTGAATTTTAGAATTTTGGTTCAACCTGAATGGAGCGACTTTGTTTACACAGGGGGATGGACTGTCAGGATCACACACGTAACCCAAAAAACAACCACAAAATGAACAAGAGCAAACACAACGGTCATAATTTTCTCTGTTGGACTAAGTACGAAAACCGCAACTACTTCCTACGACGTACTACTACTTTCTACGGCTTACTGCCGAATTACTTACTACCTACAGCATGTTGCACATATTTTTTCGGGGTATTCGCCAAAGGTATGCACGCTCGTGCAAACGTGTCTAGTTCCAGACACGTCAAACATCCTTGCGCAGTATGTTCACGAAGGAATAAAAACACTATCTCGCCAAAGGCATGGACGCTTGTGACAGCGTGTCTTGTTCCACATCCTTGCGCAGCATTACTGCGACAACTGCTTCTCCTACGGCTACTTCCACAGCCCCTGCTGCTGCTGATGTTGCTGCTGATACCACTACTTCTGCGAAGACGACTGCGACCACGAAGAGAAACAGCACAGGAATACACTGGAGAACATAAGGAGTAGCTGAATAGCAATCGGAATACCAATCAACCAACGGCGCATAGTCATGAGAGGTTTTGGACTGGGTGTCGGGCTCGGAGCTCCTTCTCACTGAACCACAGCGCGCTGCATGGAAACGGCCTGCCCGTCTTGGGTGTGGGGGCTTTTGGGTTCATTCGGGCTTGTTAAGGTTTCGGTTTGTAGGTTGGGTGTTTCGGGGGTCAAGGCATGTAGGGTTCCGGGTTGAGAGGGACAAGGCAGACGCCCATTACTTTTGTTTTATTCATAGGGGCAATGAGGGTTCAGGGGAACCAGGGGAACCAGGCGGGGAACCAGGCGGGGAACCAGGCGGGGAACCAGGCGGGGAACCAGGCGGGGAACCAGGCGGGGAACCAGGCGGGGATCCAGGGAACCAGGGGGAACCGAAAGAATCAGGGGAACCAGTGGAAGCAGGCCAATAAAGACCCTAAACCCTAAACCCTGAATCAGGGTGTTGACTGCCTCTCGTCGGTGACGGCTGGACGCCAGGAAGGCTGCAGCCTTGAACGACAACGAACGACTGATGCCCTGGGGCCGGTCTCTGCAATGGAATCCGACGCAAAATTAAAACAAGGGGCCCCATGCTTAAAACAAGCTCCCACATACATAACGACCTGACCCGGGTCTCTGGCTCCTCATCGAAAAACGTCTGAATAGCATTCCAGCCCGTCTCCGTGACCTGCTACAGACAGTGGTCACGGGCGAGAGACCACCCATACCAGGTGTGTTTCTCCTGCTCTGCCGCAACCTCTGCACAGCAGGGAGCACCACTTTTCGCTCTCACGCACTCGGGCTGCCAATTTCCATGATGGAAAACCTGAGCTCGTGGCTGACGGGGGAAGTATCTCAAAACACCCTGAGACTGTGGCAGTCGGGCGCGTTTCGCCAGTGATTCGGGATTTCAGGTCTTCCAAGGAGCTTCTTGCCAGTTGCTTCACCTGCAGTGCGCAGCTTCTGTGAAAGGTAGGCGAAGTCATCTTCCTTCACCTCGGGACCGCAGAGCACCCGACACTTCCTGCATCTCTCTGACCCCCGTGTGAAAGATGCCACCCCCTTAAACCCTAAACCCTAAACCCTAAACCCTAAACCCTAAACCCTAAACCTAAACCCTAAACCCTAAACCCCAGCACGTATCGCGCATGCGGCAAGGAGCTGCCAGGCACACGATGTTGACATCCTCCTCTGTGACCAGGCGCAAGGCTTCGGCACAAAGCTCGATGCTGGCCTCCTGGAAGGCGCTATTGGCGACCCCGGGATTCTAGGGTTTACGGGGCCGCTTAGGATTGGGATTGGGGTTTAGGGTTTAGGGTTTAAGGTTTAGGGTTTAGGGTTTGGGGTTTAGGGTTTAGGGTTTAAGGTTTAGGGTTTAGGGTTTAGGGTTTAGGGCTTAGGGTGAGTTAGAATAGCAAAACAGTCTGTCCGGGGTCCTTCGCCGGCACCACCTTTGGCTCGATGCCAAGCTCATTCAGGCGCTTGCCCCAGTCAGTGTCGCTAGTGAACCCAGTCCCCTCCTCAGTACATCAAGATCGGACGTCGCGTGAAACCAGCCAACGAGGGTACCTTTTGAAAAACCAGCTATGTTCTGCACGGGTTTCGGCTATGAAGATGGACGAAGCCACCAGTGTCCCTTCGTTGCCTGAGTCTCAGCTGGATCGCTGCAGCTGCAACCAAAGGGCATGCTGTGTTGAAAACAAGGATCAAGCCGTTCCCGAAGCAGTTGCACAGATAGCTGCTATGACTATGATCCATCATCATGCTACTCAAGCTACAGTGGATCTTCAGCTGACCTGTCGCTTTCGTGATGTCTGGAAGGTACACTAAGACTCCAAATGCCCAGGCACCAGCGCCCCATACTTCACTGCAAGATACGAACCACTTCCAGGGCGACTGGCCAGGAGGCTGGGCCATGGACATCGCTATCCTGCGGGTTTAGGGTTTAGGGTTTAAGGTTTAGGGTTTAGGGTTTGCTCGGCCTTTTGAAACTCTCTCGCTTTGCTCTCCCGCCCTTTAATTGCCGCGGTGCGCAGAGTCTGAGCTCTCGGGCTCTGCCCCTGATGATCGAAGGCAAAAGGAGTTTTTTGCTAGAGGTCCATCAGCAGCGTGCAGCGCTTTGCCATGGCTCTGCGGACCTTGCTTTGCTGATACGTGTTAATACTTAATTGTTAATTATTATTGATTAATTATTAATTATTAATTTTCTATTCTTAATTATTAATTCTTAATTCTTGATTCTTAAACATTGATTATTAATTATTAATTCTTAATTATCAATTATTAGTTATTATTATTAATTATTAAGTATTAATTATTAATCATTAATTATTATTATTAAGTATTAATTATTAATTCTTAATTCTTAATTTTGAACTAGTACTTCTTCATTATGAATTATTCTTAATTCTTAATTGAACTAGTAATCCTAATTCTTAATCATATTATTAATTTTAATTACTAATTATTATTATTAATTTTTAATATAATATTAAACTCTTAATTATTCATTCTCAATTATTAGTCTAATTATAATCTTAATTATTAATTAGTTCTTAATTCTCAATTATTAATTCAATATTAATTATTAATTAATATAATTATTAAGTATAATTATAAATTACTAATTACTAATTATTAATTATTAATTACTAATTACTAATTATTAATTACTAATTATTAATTTTTAATTATTAATTATTAATTATTAATTATTAATTATTAATTATTAATTATTAATTATTAATTATTCATTATTCATTAATTCTTAATTATTGATTATTGATTATTGATTATTGGTTATTGATTATTGATTATTGGCTATTGATTTCATGCTTAACAATTAACTACTAATTATTAATTGTTCGTTATATGGCAGGGCGTGGCTGAACCCATGTAGGAATGCAGGTTTTGGGGCAGAGGCATATCATGGCACATCTGATATCCCTGTGTCTTTTTGCGTCCGGTCATCCGATCCGGTTTTCCAACCACTCATGAGCCCGGGCACTTTAATTTTCTTTTACACTCCTCGCATTTCACTGCTGCGCGCGCAGGGCATTTGTCGCACGGAGGTGGAAAGAAGGCATTTAGCGTTGAGCCTTCAGTGGGAGGCGCAGAGGGGGATCCCAGCAGAGCGCGAGGCTAGTACGCCTAATTGCCTAATTTCGGCTGAAATGGAACTTCATCCACTCGGCAGCCTTAGGCTTAACACTTGATGATCCTCTCCGCACACCTCACGACGCCACATCTCTAACCAGACTGTAATATTGCTAGCAGGAGACTGAACATCATAAAACACACGAAGCTTCATGTGAAGCTTCTGGGATCTTCTTGCATTCTAGGATGTCTCATGAGCTCCAGTCACCCCTGCTAGTGGGCTATATGGGAACCTTAATGAACCCAATGGACCTGATGAAGCCAATGCTCCTGAAGGACGCTGCACTTTGTGCACCATCTCAGCTGGGTGAGACTCAGCTCACGTTAAGCTTCGCGGGCACCTCGGCCGGGTTGGATGGGGCAACGAAGTGGCAACGAAGTGGCAACGATGTGGGGGTAATGGGAGATCCTTCACCCTCATTACAGAGATTTGTGGTTTCAAGGGCAAGTGGAAAGGGGCTTGGGCCGGGCGCGTGGATGGGCTGCGTTTGAGATTGCACTTTCAACCGTCTCAGTGCTCATGCACGCGAACTCAGTAGTTGTTTGAAAGGTTTCTGAGCTGTAAGACAAAAAAAAAGCAAACGGGGAGCAACGCCCGATACACCCGTCTCACCATCGCAGGGCTCGAATCTGAAATAGAACAACGCAACAAACTCGCGAACATCTAAAAGCCTCGTGCTGGGCACGGGCTGGCCCACCCCCCCCCCTCCCCCCCGGTTCATCGGCAACAAATGTGACCTGAGCCAAGCAGATCCAAGCCCCTTAGGGCTGGGATTGGGGTCGCACGGGGCGGGGCCGCAGGGCGGAGGGCTGCAGGGCGGGGGCCCCAGGGCTGGGCAGAAGTGCGAATACCGACGATCCAGAGTTTGAACATGACATATTCTTGACAACAGCAACAACGAGAAGAATATGAATAAGAAAAACAATAGAAAAAATACGACGAGGCAGAGAAGCGTTGCAACATTGTAAGCAGGCTTAGTTGCAGAATCTTTCTTGCATGGGCTTTGTAACATCCAGTTCGGGTCTGACGCGTGGGAAGGGTTTGGGGGGCAACCACCTCTAAATGAGACTGCAACTGGAGTACCCGAAGGCCCTTCATTTCATGTAGGGCCTCGGGCGGCTGAGGATGTAGGGAATTCGATGGAAACGTGATGCCATGCGACTGCCAAGCCACTGACCCGCTCGCCTTGCGTGCGAAACTCCTCACAGGGATTGTATCGTTATCACGAGGAGAACAGGGGCAGACTCAACTAATGGCTTTTTGACAGGGAAGGGCGGCCTACGCAATTCGGATGAGGTTTTGGCGGAGCTGAATCTCTATGTGCAAAATCTTCCAACTCTCTTCAATGGAGAGAACCGTTTCATACTGTTTGGCCAGCTTGCAGAAATTCTCAATGGGGCCTTCTTTATAGCTTCGGAACGTGGCCAATCCTCAGATCTCTCCAGCGGTCCCCTCTTCCGTCCCAAAACCCCGAAACCCCCCAAAAACAGCCATTAGCTCCTGCACCCCAAAAAAGGGCACGGAGAAGGATGGCGCCAGATGGCGTGATGTGGCAAATCACGGCCCCGGCGCCTCTGCAGTCTTCGGATTTGGGGGCTTTAATTCTTTGTTGTGGTAGACGATGTGACTTTTTCTTGCAGGTGGTGTGACCCCTTCACACCGACTTTCGTTGCCTCCTCCTCCTGCCCAGTCTCAGCTTCGTCCTGACATCAGGGCGCAGCGTGGGGCTCTGGCGATGAAATTACCCATCACTTGCTAGATTGCTAGATTCTGCCAGATTGCTCAGCCTGAATACACCTTGACGTACCTTGACAATGCACAATCGAAAAACACAGCGAACGCACCTATACCTACATCTACACAAGCATGCCTCATGCCACCATTCCACTCCCATCCTCGAACCACCACAAGAGGCCCTTTGAAGGCCTGAGCCTCGCTCCACCTTCGGAATTGCCTCTATTCCTGCTGTCCCCCGCGGCTACGACCCAAGCGCGCAGGGTGGCCCCAATCTCTCCAAGCTGCCCGCTCCGCCCTCCCTCCCTCCCATCCCTCCCGTCCTGGGCGAAATGCGGAAACTCCTCCCAGGGCTCCAAGGCTTCCGAAGCTTCGGGGTCCAGGGAGGGGCCGGGAGGGGCCGGGAGGGGCCGCGAGGGGCTTGAGGATTTTTAGATTTAGGAGGTTCCAGGATGCTTTAAGGTTTGAGGGCTCTGGGAAGTCTGGGTTCTAGCGGTTCTAACCGTCCTAGCTGTGCTCTTACATGGCAAAGACGAGCCTGTGGGAGCCAGATTCTGAGAAAACCCTGTATGTAGTGCACGCCGGGAAAAACTGGACATTCATGTAAGAGTTATAAGCAGTGTATGCAGAATGCAAGCTTCGTATATCGCAGGGCCAACTCCCAACAACACCAATCCTTCAACTTCCTGCGCTTTGAGACATATGAAGTTGCTTGGAAATTGCTATGGAAGCTGTTTTGGCGCCTGTCCTCCTTCAGCTTTGCAAGCCCCTCCAGGTCACCACGGTCCTGCGGATCTCCGGCAGTGTAGGGAAAGATATGGCAGATGTGGGAAGCTGTCCAGCCACTAGAAATGTGCTGCTATGGCTCTGCCCTGGGACGACATGGACGAGCTTGGGTACTGAGCGCGTGGGGTCTTTCTTAGTAGTGTCGCCGCCCTCTTCTTGTTTGCTGGTTGGTTGTTTGTGGCTGCTTTGGTGGGTTGGGTTGCTTCTTTGTTCTTTGTATCTTGATGTTCCTTCCAGTCATGACTTGGGCTTTGTCCTGGACGTCCTGGTCCCGAAGGCCCTTTGCAGTTTGCTCATTCAAGCGTCGTTCAGGGCTCTGGGACTTTGGGAACAGGACATATTGCACCAAGAGCAGTGCTTGTAGCACCAGTCCGAGAAAAGGGGAATGACACGTTATTCATCGTTATTCACGCGGGGTGGCCAACATTCTTAGGCTCAGCACCAGGGTTGATTAGCCATCGTGTTGTGGAACTCGTTCGTTTTCTAAACTTGTGTCCTCTGCATGCACAGGCAAACAGTTTGGGGTAAAGGTCGGGCTGCGGGGCAAACCCCACGTCTTCTACGAACTTAGCCGCAGGGAGGGGGGCTTCTACGAATTGAATTTGGGGGGGCGCTGAACTATTACCCCCTTCCGCATTGCCCTGATGTGACTCCGCTTGGTTCCGCTTGAGGCTCTAAATTTCTGAAGGCCTCCGGGCTTTATGGCATGGTTCTGGCATGGGCACAAAACACGTCGCGCCGCTCGCCCATCTTCACGATCAAACAACGACATGAAAACTGCTGCAAAATTTCTCTAGCATCGCTAGTTCCGTTCCTAGCAGCGCGGCAGCGAGTCCTTGAGAAAATCCGCCAAGTTTTCAAAAGAGGCCAAGGTGTCGTCGTGCTGGGCTCCATGATTCACGCGACCTTCACAGCATCACCAAATCAGAGTAACGAGCCAAGCAGCCAGGGTGGGCTGTGGGGGCGCCACTGTGATCCCATACAGTAGGTCATAGTAGGTCTTAGATGGTCTTAGGTCTCTCTGAATGATGGCAAGGGGCAACCTTGGAGCTCCTCGCGAAAGAGCTGCTCTGCCTCGTCCAGTTGGCCCATCTGCTTCAGCAAGGCGGCCAGGCTATAGATGCTGCTCAGCGTGTCCGGATGAGTGTCGCCCAGCTTGGAGCGGCCTCGGCCAGATCAGGTGACTTTGCTTCGTGTCATTGTGGACTTTTGAGTCGGAGCGAATTTCAAGGGCACAATCGCTCCT